AAAACATTTCTTAAATGTGTATATATATATATATATATATATATATATATAATGAATTTCTAAATATAAAATGAATATACATATTTCTTTATTATTATTTTTTATTACACATTTCATATTTTTATTATTGTAATATCCAGTATTTCTTAATAAAGGTGTGGAGTGGTACGAGAGAGCTGTAGGAGATCACTGGCTCTGCAGCAGTTGGGTCCATTAGCGTGTGTGTGAGTGTGTGTGTGTGAGTGTCTGTGTCTGTGTCTGTGTCTGTGTCTGTGTCTGTGTCTGTCTGTGTCTGTCTGTGTCTGTCTGTCTGGCGCGTGTCTCTGCTCACATTAATAATGAACGCTCTCTTCATCTGCTGTAATGCAATACTCTCATCTAAGAGCCGTCGCGCTGGTTCCCACTGAACAACACAGCAGCTCAACGCCGCGTTAATCCTAATGAAGAAGAGCGAGACATTAAGTTTTAGAGCGGCTCTTTAGCGTGCCAAAACTCTCGTAGCCTTTATGAGGGAATTCAGTCATTAGTAATTGTGACCATGTGTAGGTAAAAAATAAAAATCCTGTGAATTTATAGTTTGTTATAAAATCTCCTCTGCGCTCGTCCAGAGCTCAACGATGGCCTTTTATGGAGCCACTTCTGCTGGTTTTTCTTCGTCTCACAGCGAGCTCCTAATTGTGACAGAACCGCGGCGAGATGTTTCCACTGATGGGACGTGACAAAAACACAGTGCTTGAGATTTATTACGCTGGTTTACAGAAACACCGTCAGTCAGTTACACTGGAGACTGATGGGAAATTATGTGAAAGAATGAGGACCGATTGTTGAATTTAATCGACTTTTGACAGGACTTCAGTACTGATGATGTATATTTTAAATTTATGTATTTTAATGTATCATATTTTATATTTTAATATTTAAACTACTGATTAAAAGTTTGGGGTTAGTATGATTTTTTTATGTTTCTGAAAGAAGTCTTTTCTGCTCAACAAGGCTGCATTTATTTGATCAAAAATACTGTAAAATTGTGAAAAATTATTATGATTTAAAATATCTGTTTTCTGTGTGAATATGTGTTAAGCTGTAATATATTTCTGTGATGCGCAGCTGTATTTCCAGCATCATTCCTCCAGTCTTCAGTGTCACATGATCTTCAGAAATCAGTATAATATGCTGATCTGCTGCTCGAGAAACATTTCTGATTATTATCAATGTTGAAAACATTAATATTTTTGTGGAAACTGTGACGCATTTTATTTTTCAGGATTCAAAGATTAACAGAAAGTTCAAAAGAACAGCATTCATTTGTTATCTTTTATAACATTATAAATGTCTTTATTCTCACTTTTGATCAATTTAATGCATCCTTGCTGAATAAAACTATTAATAACTTTCAAAAATAGAACTAAGAAGTTAATTAAACTTACATGTTACCTCATGAAGCACATTATTAAATGAGATGTGTAGATTACTTCACAGTGTTCTAATAATCATTATTGGTATTTTGATGTGATATTGAGGTGTTTAATTGTGAGTTTCTTCTCGTAGATCATCAAGCTGCTGGATGGGAAACGCTCTCAGGCCGTGGGAATATTAATATCCAGCCTCCATCTGGAGATGAAGGACATTCAGCAGGGTGAGATCAGATGTATCTATCTATCTGTCTATCTATCTGTCTGTCTGTCTGTCTGTCTGTCTGTCTGTCTGTCTGTCTGTTTTTGTGCAGGTGCCTTTGACGTTATAATCGTGCAGGGGCTGTGTTTTATGGTTCACTTCGAATGGTTTTGTTGTGAATGTTGACAGAGAGCGCAGCCTGAGGAACTGGAGAAGATCAGGAAACATTACGAGACGTCTAAAGAAGACGAGGTGAAGCTCCTGGATAAACCGGAACAGTACGTCATTCACGCGCATACACTCCAGCGCACGAATGATTCAAAAAAGCAAAAATGATACAAAATGCATCATATTTTGTGAGAACGTGTGACGTGAAAGAGCAAAACCGACACTATTTTTTAAAAATCAGCAGCTCAAAATGAGTCTGAAACAAGTGTATGATGCAGAGATCATGTTCTCTACAACTAGTTATAGAAGATTAAACACAGGTTAGACTGTCTAACACATGATTAGCACATGAAACCGTTTTGACTTCAAGCCATCAGTTCATGAAAACAAAGGTTTTGACACAAGATTTAAACATTATATGAGTTAATATGAGATTTAAGAGCCTCATGAAGCCGACAAACCTGGTAACTTTCACACAATGTGCTCATAAGAGTTACTTTAAAGCTATTTTCACTCAGAAATCGCTAAGAAATTTCACAAATAATTACAAAGAAGCAGCAAGTAACAAGTTGAGTTAGACGTGAAATTTAAAGTTGAAAAACTTAAATAATATTTTCTTGCAAAAAGGACTATTATAGTTAACTAAAGTTAAAACCGTAAAAATATATATATATATTTAATTATAAATAAATGTTAACTGAAATATTTTTTTAAATAATTGTATTATTTTTTATTTCTTATTTTATTAATATAATAATATTATTTTTATTATACATACATCTTTTTATTATACATGCATTTTTATTATTTTATATTTTATTATTAACTATTATTTTATTTCAGCTAGTTTCCACAGCAACATTTCTCATTTGAACTTAGTTTGATTTGATGCACTTAAATTAAAACTGAAATAAAAATGACTAAAAACAACAAAAGCTAATAAAAATGACAAAAGCACGGCAAAATTACTAAAACTTTATCTAAATTTATCATGAAAGCAGAAAATATAAAAATTAAATCTAATTCAAAGTATGAACTAAACTCATCAAAGACGTCTAAAGTTTATTCAGGAATATAGAAGAGGAAACACTACAAAAATGATTTTCTCACTCCACGTTTCTGTCTTGTTTTCCAGTGCATATGTCTAAACATGAATATATCAAGACAAGTTTATCTGAGATGCAAAATGACTTATGATAAAAAGACAAGAAATTGATCAAGATTAAGTGAGTTTTTGCTTTAAAAAGAACAAATATCAGTCACTGGAGCCTGAAAAATTAACTTAATTCAAAGGGAAATACTGAGTAAACACAAAAAACTGAGTTACAAGCAGACAGTTTCTCCTTCTTTCTTTCTGACAGATGTGTTGTTGTTGTTTCAGAACGCAGGAACAGAGAAGAGCGTTTTCCCACTGCCTGAACCTCAGGATCTCTTCCACGCTGCTCAGGTCAAGTTTGAAGATCTCGCAAAAGACCTTCGCAAGTTAAAGAAGGAGCTGACAGGTATGAATCTCATCCGTTTGTCTGTGGCGTCGTGCTTATTTAAAGCTGAATATGGACAGAACGACAGCGTCTCACAATGGAAAAGTTATAGCAGGTGTTCGGAAACCTCAAGACAAACTCAGACACTTCAGCTTTAATTGTTTTAATTTGGGTTTTACACAATGAGAATGACGTTAATAGTGAGCTTCATCCCAGTGAATCATTTGAATCTATTTACTTAACAGATTGGTTCAGTGACTCTTCTCAGGTTACTTTGTCAATAGGTGGTGCAAAATGAGTCACTGAATAATTCATTCAAATGATTCATTAAAAAAAACAGATTCATCTGGAACAAGAGCTTCATCACAGTGACTCTTCTGAATCTATTCACTAAATAGAGTTGTTCAGATTGATTCACAGATTGGTTCAGTGACTCTTCTCAGGTTACTTTGTCAGTAGGTGGTTCAAAGTGAGTCACTGAATCATTCATTCATCATTCACCTTTGCAAATGCATTAAGACCCTCAAAATACACATCTTTTTTTTTTCTCCCAGATATTTTACAATTATTTTTTAAGAGATATAACCATTTAAAATGTTTTACATGTTTGTGTTCGGGTCATTTTGACACGAGTTTGTATGGAGTACCATTAGTGTCAAAAATACTTTTTGTAAAATTATGAAGTTTAAGCAAGTTAAATTAATTAATTTAGTTTGAAAGCTTTTCAAAGTAATATTTATCTTGTTTTGATGTTGTTTTGTTAGAAATAAATATGCAAATTTCATAAATGTGGATTGTTTTTGAGCAATCATGAGTTATAAACTCAAAGGAATTTAATTAAATACATTCATTCCAATGGAGTTAATACTGATAATTCTCAGATAATATGGTCTTAAAAATTTCATACTATGATATATTCAAATAAAATACTATAATATATATATATATATGTAGATTGCATCATAGTTATTTGGTGTGGATCATGTGTAATTACATTTTTTTTAAGAATTTCTCAAATTATTAATTAATAATAAAGGGGTAAATGCAGCAATAACTGATTTTGAATGCGTTATGAGGGTTAAGCATCTTAAATGTTTCCTCCACATAGCAAAGCACTAGTAATGAGCGACCGGATCATGTTTGTGACACCGTCTATCAATTAACATGCATTTAAGAGCCATTTCTTTTCATTTTACACTGGAAAATGCGTTTTTACCATAGCCTGTACTACGCTGTGCTCCGGGCCGCCACACGGGTCAAAGGTCACGCCTCCCCCAGCCCCCGGTGTCTGCAATTATTTAAATCAGCCAATAATATGGCATATGAAAGCAATTAGATATGCTCTCTCCTCATTCCCCTCCATTTGAGAATCGCTGTTAAAAACCCTGATCCTCAGTGACCCGAGGGAAAATACAAAACCACTGCCGCCCCACCTCGAGCTGTCTGTCACTCATTTATTAGCTCGCAAACGCAAGACAATAAATGCAGGATAAGGGCTTCGCATTTGATCCACACCACAACAACAAAGCCTCAAACGCGTGTCCTCGGGCGCTGGCACCAGATCGCACCTACGACGGCAGCAGACAGGGATAAATATTAACACCGTGCCATCATAAAGAGCTGCAAGTGTTCCTAAATATTCCTGCCGTCATTTCTGTTTAAAGTGAGAGTGCAGAGCGAGTGGAGCTGGTGAGGAGTCTCTCCGAGAGTTTCTGGCCTGAGATTTGAGGTCTGTGCATCTGACGTATGTGCGTGAGGCGTATCGAGCCGCAAGCGATGGATTTACTTCTGAAACAATCAGTGAATCTGCTAAATCTAACGCTTGACTGCCAGGAATAAAAACTGCAGATGACAAGGATTTCGGCTACATGACGTGACATCGTCCAGGAGACTTGATGCATTTGAAAGCTCTCAGACTCTCGGATGTTTATTCATTTCAAGAGAAATAAAATTTTTTATTTTAATTGATATTTTAACAGTGTCCACGTGAATCAAAAACAACCAGTGTTGCACAATAATAATGATGGGGGGCGAAAAAATAAAATAAAAATGAATGAATAAATAAAAAGAGCTGTGAAACAGTTTAGTGAAATTGTTTAAAAAATATTTTATAAAATATAAATTTTATTTGTTATTTTAAGGAATATCACACAAATGTTTCACCCTTTTTTTTAAACGGCAAACTTCTTTTGTGCAGCACTTTGTTTGACAAATAATTAAAGGAGTTGACATTTGGATGAATTAAATTGTTAGTTATATACGTTCGATCAATAACGTTTTTGGGAATAAATGTGTATTAAATCATAAAATCAGAATCCAGAACAATTAAAACAGACACAGAATTTCTGAAAAGAAAAAAATAATAATAATTTCGTAGGGCACTATTATTGTTAAAATTGCAATTGATTATTCACTTTAACATTTTATGAATATAATTGATTTATTAATTATTAAAGTTGAATTAAACCATTAAAATGTATTAAAAATACAAATAAAAACAGAATTTGGGGGTGAAAAAAAAAAAAAATCCAGATTTCCCTAATATTGAGATCTCTAAACTAAACATTTTACTTAATTATTAAATTATGAAAAGTTTTTTTTTTTTTAGGTTTTAAACTTTTTGATGATTAAAATTTAATTAAACCATTAAAATGGATTCCAGAAAAATTTAAACGGAAAACACAGAATTTTGAAAAAAAAAAAAAAACGGCTTTACAATTTTGATAAATTATTAAAAAAAATTGTGAATTCAGTTGATTCTACCTTCTTTATGATTATTAAAATTGAATAAAACCATTAAGATGTATTAGAATTTGACAAAAAATAAAAGGGCCCTAATATTGAGACATTATTGAAATCTCTTTAAACTCACACGTGAGATTATCAGCGAAAGTTTCTAATTGCTCGTCATTTGAATTCAGACATTGCCGTGCAGGAGAAATAACTGATGGGATGTTGTTCTGGTCTCAGAGACAGTAGGTGGATGTCGAGCTCGTCTCGTGTGTGTTTGAGGGGTCGCGACACGGGGTCAGTCTCAGGGGCCGCTCACACGTCTGAACTCTGAGAGCAGAGCGAGACAGAGACGCCCCGACTGCCCCGCTGCCCTCCGCGCCGCTCTCTTCTACTTTTACCAGAAATCTGATCTCGTCAGGGTTAAAAGGGTTTCATGCTACAGTCTCTCTTCAGTTCAGCCTGATGCTGCTGACGGATTCTCACAGTCACTTCACCTGATCTTGGAAAGAAGACTCTTCTGCTCACCGAGGCTGCATTTATTTGATTAAATATACAGTAAAAATACTGAAATATTATTATCATTTAAAACAGCTGTTGTCTATGTGAATCTCTGTTAAACTGTAATGTATTTCTGATGCGCAGCTGTATTTCCAGCATCATTCCTCCAGTCTTCAGTGTCACATGATCTTCAGAAATCAGTATAATATGCTGATCTGCTGCTCGAGAAACATTCGTGCGGCACAATATTTTTGTGGAAACTGTGATACATTTTATTCCCAAAAAGAAATTTTTTGTTATTTTGTTGTCCAGAAGAACAGCAAGAAATCTTTTGTAACATTATAAATGTCTGTACTGTCACTTTTGATCAATTTAATGTGTCTCTGATGAGTAAAAGTATTAAGTAATTAATTTACAGATTTTTTTAATACGCCGAATCTGCGTATTAGAATGATTTCTGAAGACTGGAGGAACGATGCTGAAAATACAGCTTTGATCGCAGAAATAAATTACAGTTTAACAGATATTCACATAGACAACAGCTGTTTTAGATTATAATAATATTTCACTGTTTTTACAGTATTTTTCATCAAATAAATGCCGCGTTGAGCAGAAGAGACTTCTTTTGAACACTTTTGACTGGTAGTGTGGTAGTGTATATCATATTTAATTCAGATAAAGCAGTCAATAATCGATCAGATGCATCTTAGCTTGAATTCTAGCATTAAATACAATATTTCCTCTATAATATTTTCTCTTTTCTGTGTAGAGCGGACACACTGGAGATAAAGAAGCGTCTAAAAGCTGAAGTTCGGTTAATAGCGCAGACCAAGTAAAGTGTCTGTGTGTCTCTGCATTAATCACGGCCGGAGAGGAACATGAACCCGCTGGATGCTTCTTTTGATGAAGCCGCTGCTGGGGCGTGGAATTTCCCTGAGAAGCGCAACCGCAATCCCGAAAACAAAACCCTAATAACCGTTTCATGCTCGAAGAGCACGGGAATATCCAGGCAACTTCGGGCAAAATAATGAAAACACAAAAGAGACAAAAAAAAACTTCAGCTGTTTTTAATGTTTCAAGAACGTTAGATGAACATTCCGTCCGATCGTTTTGAAGTGTTATGAAATCGTTACATTTGAACGTTCTCCCAACATTTACAAAAATGTTTTTAATGTTTTTTAAACATTCAAAATGTCTCTTTTTTAATGTATTAAGAACGTTTCTCGGAGTTATGTGGATGTTCAACAAACATTCCATTTTATTGTTTATTTTCCATTTTATTGTATATTTGAAAACGTTACATTTGAATGTTGCCTCGACATTTAAAACACCCATTTACATTTTTAAAGTACGTTTTTTCTTGGTTATGTCAATGTTAGAGGAACGCATTCAATCATTTTGAATTCGTATGTTTCTGAATGTTTTTTAAACGTTCAAAATGTCCCGTTTTTCATGTTTTAAGAACGTTAGAGGAACATTCCATCCTATCAATTTGAAATGTTATGAAAACGTTACATTTGACTGTTCTCTCAACATTTAAAACTCACGTTTTTATATTTAAAGGTAATGTGAACGTTAGAGGAACGTTGCATTTTATCATTTTGAAAACATTTTGAAAGCGTTATTTCTGAATGTTTTTTAAACGTTCAAAATGTCTCTTTTTTAATGTATTGAGAACATTTATAATAGTTATGTGTGTTCAACAAACATTAAATTTTATTGTTTATTTTCCATTTTATTGTATATTTGAAAACGTTACATTTAAAACACCCATTTTAATGTTTAAAGAA